AAGAAATGCTGTTGTAAATAAACGTTTAAAACTTACACGCTGAATTGGACCATCTTCATTGACTATGTAAGAATTAGAAAATCTATCTGTAGGTGCGTTTAATATTTTTCTCTGCCAACGATAACCTTATTTGCATATTCTAAGTCTGATGCAACTTTATTTAGGTGCTGAATAGTTTCAATTATCTGATTTTTTAAAAAATCATCATCATAAAAAGTGTTAATGCTGGAAAATATTTTTTAGATCATTTAGTACACGTTCATGTTCAGATTTAATTAGACTTTATTTTGAGTTAATTTCTTCAACATTAGATATTCTTGTTGTACCTTTCTTACCTTGAATTAAATTTATAAAGTGAGTATAACGTGAATAACCTCGATAAGCATCCTGACTCTTTAAAAATGGATGCAATTTTTGATAATCAGTAAGTTGAATAAAATATTTAACATCTATGACGAAATCAGATCGTTGTGGTACTGGTGGACCTTTAGAAACCGGCGCAACTTCAGGTCATCCAGCCGGAAATGACGTACATTTATCCCCACAAGACGAAGTACGTGCTTCTTGTCGAAAAAATAAAACACTATAAACCATGGGTAGGGAACATTTAGATGAAACTACTGAAAACTAATTTACTGTTCAGCCTTATATCAATATGCGTGCGCGACGCACTAGATTGTGTCGCTTTTAAACTGCTCCATTGTTGCAATTTATTTTGAAAACTCTCGTTCATATAGGTAAAAATGAATCAAAGGTGGCTTCTCTAAGTCAGCCGACTTTATTTTTAAAAAAGAAGAAAATCGACACACTTAAAAGAATCCAAAGGAACCAAACCTGACTTCCTTGTGTCAGCCGACTTCATAAGAAAAATCGGCACACTTAAAAGATACCAAATGTCAGTTTTCTGGGTTGTTTGCGTTGTAATAAAATTACCTATGTATTTGATATTCTATCGGAAAGTTTAAGAAAAGAGTTTATTGTTCGCTCTAAGTTGTGTTTATCCATCACCCGTGCTTCTATTTGTTTCCCAGATGTGATCATAATTTATAGTTTGCAGGGCAAATGGTATACACATCAATAACGTGCTTTTAAAACACTTTTGTAATCAATAACGTGCTTTAAAAACACTTTTGTAACCCATACTAGCGAAAAGATTATCATTTGCACGTACAGTGAATGTATTTTAACATAATGATTTTTATTTGCGATACTATCGTATATTTAACCTGGATACAATAAATCGTGGTCAATTTGCACCTTGTAACGTCATGTTTGAATGGCAGGTGCCTTCAAGCAATCGGGTGATATTTTCATCTCTTTTGTGATTTTGTTTTTTGACATCAGCAATACACACTACAGCAAGGACGCATACGGAAACCGGCATCCACTACATACAATAGTGGGTATATATTTTTTTCTTTAATAAATTTAACATGATGAAAAAAAAGGAATAAATGATAAAAAAATGCAAGATTTGTTTTTTTTTCCTTTTATTTTCAAATAAGTATTTTTTGTACTTTGCAATAAAGGGGAGGGCACAAATTCAGCACAAAATTAATTCATTTCTTATTGGTACGGAATAAGTGAGCAAATATGATTAACGATATTCACTATTAATGGCAAACTTTTAATTTACGCGCACACATTAAGACAACTTGAAAAAAATAAACAACAAACAATAAAATTAACTGGTAAGAGCTTCATATAGAAGCAACATTGACAAAATGCTCTCTCTCTCTCTCTCTCTCTCTCTCTCTCTCTCTCTCTCTCTCTCTCTCTCTCTCTCTCTCTCTCTCTCTCTCTCTCTCTCTCTCTCTCTTAAAATTAAATGTATTTGTTTTAATCTCTCATGTAAACTACCCTTAGAAATATGTATACATATTTTGTAGAACATTTTGTTAAGTTTAATTGTTTAATAAATGAATTTGGATAATTTGATAAGAAAACATAAATTGAGAGACTTAAATTGAGAATGTCGTTGTGCAGATGCATATATTTTTAGCATAAAAATCTAAATATTTTAATTAGAACGAGCAAGATATGTCTGTGTTTTCTCTCTCTCTCTCATATATATATATATATATATATATATATATATATATATATATATATATATATATATATATATATATATATATATATATATATATATATGCACGTTGTGATTATTTTCTTTGAAAGAATATCAATTTCGTTTATATTTAGTTTTTTCCCCCTAAAACCCATTCCTAAAACGCATCTTACGTAGTATTTACTTGTTATTTTAAGAAAAAGAAATTTTTCAAATTATTGTCAAGTTGAGTCGAATTGTCTTTCTTGTTGGGCTGAATTGTCTTGGGCCAAATTGACTATAATCGGGCATTAATGATATAACTTTCCCATCCCTTCACCCTATTCTATCTCACAGCTTGAATTAACTTTTTTTCCTCGGTAAATAGGGTCTTTCGGAAATAAAAAGAATCCTTTTACCCATCATCACTCTTTTGGTTACATCCATATGCAACACAGTACATCATATCTGCTGTACAAAAGCACGATCATAAGATATATAACATAGACATTTACTTCGGAAAATTAAACACTTGAATGGCTAGGTTGAATAGAAGCGATACCTGTATGTCATATCCGTGTTTGGCACACGGAAACTACCGATTATTTACGGTGATTGCCGAATAATCTTTTTTTTACAAAAGTGGATTTTTAAGTCTAATTAAGCATTTTTATCGTGTGCATACATAGCAAATGCGATTTGTTTATGACTATAATATCACACGTTTGTACAATATAGGTGGCCGATGACCTTTAAGCAAGAAAACCTAGTTTCATTGGTCTCAGAAATGTCAGGAGGCTTTTGACAAGTTAAAGGCCATACTTAAAAGTGCACAGTTCTTACAACTCCAAAGTTTAGTCAGTCATTTAAACTGTCTATTGATGCAAGTGATGTTGGGTTTGGAGCTTGATTCAAGAAGATAGACATGGTGTGGATCATCCACTGTGCTATTTTTCTAAGAAATTAAAAAAAGCACCAGATAAATTACGCTACAATTGAGAAGGAATGCTTGGCTTTTAGTATTGGCAATACAACATTATGAAGTTTCAATAGTTCAGCTACTTCTGATTATTGTGTTTAGTTATCACAAACCCCTTACTTTCATCAGCAAGACAAAACTGTTACGAATAGGTAATTAAATTGCTTGTGTGTTAGCTTTGAATTGTTTTTTATTTTATTTTTGTTTCATTATATTTTATTGTAGTGATAATTTTCATTGGATTTGAATCCCTTTTCAGACAATTCACTTGACCGAATTAGAATGTAACAGTTATTTTTATCATTATTTTAGCCGCCCTTGGTTTGCAAATTTGTAAACACTAAGTTAAAATGGTTGGCTATTCCCAAGGTTATGTCCAGCCCACGTGTTACCCATATTGTAAATAGTTTTTTATTATTCATTTCTAACGTGAGGATCTGATTTTTTTTTTAGGTATAGCTATTCTAAGATACGTGACAAATGGCGTATTTCATTGTTAGAAATCATGTAGCCTGTCACGTGGACAACCATGTGATCTAAAATCAGGCTTAAAACAGCCAATTGGTATTAAGTTTATTGTCACAAAAAATATCTTCTGCAGCTCAGGGATATTTTATGTTGCTGCCATTTTTAGTTATTTGCTATTTAATAATAATTTATATTCACCGGAAAATAAGTGCTTCTTCGTCAAAGTCTTGGACAAAGACATTCAATGGAAATTATTTGGAATTCTTTTGTTTGACCTGATTGACTTTTTTTAAAAAAAAAAATCCATTGACGTAAACAACTATTAATAGAAATATTGTACTTAGTTGCTGACCCTATTCCAAATTAGTGATAGTTTTGGTAAACAACCTTTTTATTTTTTTAAACATTATTAAGTTGAGGCATGGTCATACATGGACTACGTGATATCAAGCATACATCAATTGATAACAAAGTTCTATTTTTTTCCCCAAGAAAAATCAAGCTGAACATAAAACGCTTGACACGTTAAGATGTATTATGTTGTGACCAATTTGGATTTAATTTATTTTCTTCAAATTATTGAATTCAAGTGATTATTTTCCCTGGAAATACAAAAGTGCTCTGACACGATTCTTGGATAAGAAATTTATTGGAATTTATATGAAAACTGGAATATTTTTGTGACTCAACAAGAAACTGTTGATACATCAGCACATCGCTGACCACAACAGATGTCATCGCCTTCAATTTCGGATTTCATCGGGATTCGAACTCAGTTTCATTAAGGACTTTTATTGCTAGGACTTATATTTTTTAATTCTTGGATTATTATTGGATTTAATTTGTAAAACCTTACGTTCTTTTGACATAAGTTTTCAATATGTATTTTTGGGAAATAAATTGTTAAATTTTACAAAGCTTGTTGTCTTCACTCAATTCTGTTAATTATTTTAAGACCATAGACTCATAACACTACTGGCCTAAATAACTAAACAGTTGACCATTTCACTAAGCCGATTTATGTAGCATCATAATAAAACATCCTACATAAAAATATCTCCCAAACTTTTTTTTTACAAGTACATTTTACCTATTATTGTTTAAACCTTAACCATAAATCTATGTAAAGTTGAAGACAATCAATATTCACAGCCTCTTACTCATATAATCTTACTCCTCCAGTTATTAAAGATAATCAAAAATATGGTTTAAGATGGTAACAAAGTCAGTCAATCATACAAGATTACCTTACCTCAATAATATGCATGGATACTACTTTTGAAATTGTCTAGAAGCTTGATGATGCAAACCAATATTCAAATTTTGATCAAAATTGGATCAGAACTATGGCTTCCTTGGTAGTAAAAAGCTCAACTAATAGCATGCAATATCACATAATAAAGATGATTTTTGGCCTCTTTTGGGGAGCACGTTTAAAACGTTATTGGCTTTATCATTGTGATGAAATTGGAATCAAGTGTCTTTCTCTAGGACAAACTGAGACAGCCTACCTGGGCAGATATCAAACCCATGACCCTTGGATTACAAGTCTAATGCTCTACCAACAAAGCTACCACAGCTCCCCAATCCATACAGTGTGCTCATTATTGACACAGTCCACAATCTAGGGGGCATAGACACATTCCAAATTTGATCAAACTAGTATAAAATTGGAAGTAATTAGCAGTCTTTTTTTTAGGACCATTAATATCCACTGTGTGAAAACCACATATCAACATGACAATCTATTCTGAGATAGTAGCGACAGATGTTCAAGACAGACGAGGCAGTATGACTAGCACTATTTTCACTGAAGACTAACCAGGTATCAAAAGTCATCTTAAGATGAAAACTCCATGTTGTTATGACTTTACACTAAGGAGAATGAGCGATAAAAACTTTCAAGATGGCTGCCATGCTGGATTTCATACAGGAACCATTTTTGTTCTGGACCAACTAGACATGGTAAGAAGTCTTTTGTGAAAACCCCATGTACATATGAGCAACCATGACTATGAAGATGGCAGCAATATTTAATGTCAGCTTGGCACCATTTTCATTTTGTATCAACTGGATAGTATTGAAGGTCTTTGTGTGAAAACCGAATATCAATATAATCATCCATCCAAGAAAAGCAACGACTAGTTTTCATGATGGTAGACATATTGGCAGTCAGATCAGCACCATTTTCATTTAGGACAAACTGTACATCACAAGAATTCTGGTGAAAACCCCATGTCAATACTAGTGATAACAAAATTTTCAAGATGATTGCTATTGTGGCCATACTGGGAGTCTCACCAGTATTTCATTTAGGACCAACAAAATATCATAACGAATCTTTTGTGAAAACCCATAAGACCATACATTTATTAGGAGTAGCAACAAGATTTTCTGGTAGTTAGAGGATGTCCAAGTTTTATGGCAATCCAACAAATAGTTTACAAGGAGTCAAGATAACCGGTGCTAATTTGAGCCAATGGTCAACAAATATTGGGCCACCCAACAAGCTCCTCGGATTTACAACCAGTATAAACAAAATGATCATGTAATTCGTGATCTTTTCAACATTTCCAGTCAGTTTCCACCCTGTGAGTCGGCAAACACCAACAACTTCAAAACCAAGTTATGTACAATACTTGTATGTAGTTTTAAAAAAAATTAACATAATATTGTTACCTGTTTTTATCTTTTACATCTGTCCTCAAGGCTACTTTTTTTTTAATCATAATATATCCATGCATACTATCTAGGATACAAGCTTATTTTTAGCTCTTGTTTTTGTTTTTAGCCAATGTTGAAGTCAGATTACTGATTTGGTACTGAAGATGGAATACGCAACATGAAACGTTCAAGAGTAGTAATAAGCCTAGCCAGTCAGATACATGGTCTTAATATGACCATTATCGAAATTGTTAATGATCTTGATGATGTAAGTATAATGTTCCAAATTTGATCACAATTATGACTTCCGAGTTGCAACAATTTCAGTCAGGTGCAATATTAACTCATTAATATCCATGAATCTCATTAATGAACCAATTAAAGATTTGGATTAAATACAAACATATTTCAAGCCCTGTTAAAACCTGATCTGATAAATTGCTTCCATAGTAGCAACATGATCACATGATATATAAGATCACCTCATTAATATGTGTGCATCTTACTGTTATGAATATTTAAATTGCATCGTTTGTTAGGTTTTTATAAATTCATTATAAGCTATGGATCATTGCATTTTGTACCTGACCTTGTCAAAATCAAGTTCATTTTGTACCTGACCTAAATCACTGTTTTTGGTTTTGTAAACATGTTTCTCAGAGTCCAGAACATTGGAAATTCCATATGAAATGCCAGGTCTACCTGTTGCTTGCCACATTTTATATTACAATTTTAATAACAAACCTTCTTATGATTTATCTTTCCAGGTAAGAGGATTTTTTGATAAAATACTAATTGTGATCTGTGGCAAAGTTGAGGACTGTATAATCTTGTTTATCAAGAAATTATTCATTCATGCTGTAAGATCTGAGCAGAATCAGTTGTATTATTATTATGCTATGTCCTGTATTTAATTTGGACTGAAATTTATTCAAATTATTTAATAAAGTTATTCTTCTCTGGAAATACAGAGTACTCAAAAATAACTTTCTGAAAAATATAGACTTAGATTTATTGTGCAATTCAAATAAGGATTCTTGGATTGTTTTATTGTGATTCAACAAAAGATTGTTGGCACATCACTACAACTTAGGCCATAACAAGTACATCAACACTTCCATATTTTGGAATATCACATAAGATTATCCAGAACTTTACTCGTCAAGACTAGAGTTAGAAATTCTAGCATTATTTGGAATTCAATACCATGAGTTCTTATACTGTTCACTTTGTATTCTACAGAAATAGATTATTTGTTGAATTTTACAAAACTTTTCACTTTTATCTATTACTTTAAGACCTCAGATATGTAACATTTGCTTTTTATTGAAACATCCAAGGTTTTGATATCACATTTATTCCAGAAGTACAGCTGCATGACAAGATTAGACAATCAGATACTAGCTCAGCTCATTAATATGCATGGCTCTTGCACATAATCAAACTCACTGAGGCCATCAGAAATCTAATAATTTTCCCTATGCTTGGCTGATGAGACAAAAAGAAATGATGGTTCAGGAATAAAAAGTGAGATGTCCAGATATCATTAACACAAAAATGAAATAAATACAACATTCAGAAAATTACACTCTAAATATGTTTATCTATATAAAATTGTAACATCACACATAATACCTAATAGCATAAAAATAAAACATTATGTAAATATAGTGCACAAATTTCACAAATGACCACAACAGCACTTTGTTTCACACTATCAAGATTGTCAGATGAATTAATGCCACTGTTACAAATAATTCCATGATTACAAAATACAAAGTCCATAAAGATGAAGATACTTTATAACTGAGATGATAACCAGTTAAACTGTTGAGAAGTGCAAACACAAATGGTACAAAGTTTCCATTCAGCTGCTGTCTCAGGCCTTATCATAACCCCAAAACTCACATACCCCAAAACAACATTCCAATAAGGACTCTGATTCAGCAATAATATCGTTATATACCACAAGCTGGCATGCTATTTAATTGTAAATTTATGGAAAAAGAAGCTGGATTCAATAATAATGAATGCCACAAGCTGGTATACTATCTAATTATGAAATCATGGTAAGGACTTGGATTCAATAATAATGAATGCCACAAGCTGGTATACTATCTAATTATGAAATCATGGTAAGGACTTGGATTCAATAATAATGAATGCCACAAGCTGGTATACTATCTAATTATGAAATCATGGTAAGGACTTGGATTCAATAATTATGAATGCCACAAGCTGGCATTGTGAACTTACAGTAAGGACTTGGATTAAATAATTAATACAAGTTAGCATACTATATAATTGTGAATTTACAGGGTAATTGAGTTACCTTCTTTAAATAAAGTCAAAATAATAATAGTAAGGACTTGGATTCACTAATAATACCAGAAGTTGGCATACTAAAATTATGAATTTAGGGCAGATGTCTCGAAGATTTTTTAATGTGTTAATGACTGAGGTAGTTTATATCTCTATATAATTGTTGTTGTTGTTGTTCTGGGGTTTAATGCAATTTTTCAGAACATGATAGGCTATACATGGCGGCCAGTATTAATGGTAGAGGAAGAAACTGGGAAATCCGCAGAAAAAACCACAGACCCACTAGAAGCTACTGGCAAGCTTTCTCACATATTCACATTAAAAAATCTTAGACTCGAACCCAGGAACCCACGCAGACAGAGGTGAAATGGCAGTGATCCATAACGGAGAGCACTTTAGACCCCTGATCTCAATATGGCAAGACTTTATGGGCTGATTTTTCATGCACAAGTTTGATACTGCTACCCCTCCTAAACTACTTATACAACTGCCATGAAACTTATCACACACACACACATTCATCACAAGGTCTAGTTCATCCTTAAAAATGTTCCCTCTCAGGCATCCAATACACGCACATTCATCACATGGTCTAGTTTGTCCTAAATGAAATTGTTTCCTCTCAGACATCCAATACAGCAACCACTGCAGCCATTTTGAAGATCTTGTTATTGCTATTCTGAACAGAAAGTCAGACTGACAAAGGATTTTAACAGCAAAACTTGTGACTATTTGATCCTTAATAAAAGTGGTAGCAAATATGATGTCCAAAATGGTCTTCAAGTATTTTGAAAATTGCTTTAGCTACTCCTCTGAACAAAACATCATGTTGATATGGTATTCAGGCAGCATCTTATAATGTACAGTTGGTCCTAAATAAAAAGGTACCTCACTCCCACATCCAATATGGTAGCACTGCTGCCATCTTGAAAATATTATCACTACTACTCCAGAATGAATGACCATATCAACATGTGGATTTTACTAAGACTTCTCATGTTTAGTTGGTCCTAAATAAAAATGATGCCTCTGACATCCAATATGACCACCACAGTGACACATACTAAAAATCCTATCACACTTTTGGGTTTTCACTGAGTCTTCTAATGTCAAGTTGGTTGTAAATGAAGATGGTGCTAATCTAACAAACTAATATGGTCACCACAATGGCCATCTGGAAATTCTTATTATTGCTATTTCTCCTAGATGGCTGGTCATATCATTGTGCTTTCACCAAAAGACTTCTTATGATTCTAGTTGATCCATAATGGCCACCATAGCAGCTATCTTCAAAATTTTGTCATTGTCACTTCTCAAAACAAGAAAGTCATATCAACATGTGGTATTCACAAAAACACTTTAAATAGCATTTTTTCTGATCTAAAATTAAAACAGTGACATGTCCAATTGTTTTGGTGTATAGTTAGTCTGAAATGAAAAAATGATGCAAACAGATGCTAAACATGGCAAACACCTTGAAAATATTGTTATCTCTACTCCACCCTAATGGATGGTTTTATCAACATGGGTGCTTTCACAAACAAATAACATGCTGCCAATATGGCTATTATTATAATGGCCTTCATGAAAATCTT